AGAATAAAGAGGAAAATCATATAGTCATCTCAACAGTAAAAGCATTTGATAAAATATTCACTCCATACTCATGAGAGGAGAACCATAAAATATTAGGACTAGAAAGAATTTTCTTAACCTGACAAATAATATTTGCAAAACTCCTAAAGCAAACAATATCATATTTAACAGTGAAGTAGATGAAGTGGTCAAAGTTTTTTCCTTGATGTCCTGAGCAAGACAAGAATTCTCTTTATAGTGACTTCTATTCAACATTGTACTAGAAGTCTGCATGAAATAAGGCAAGAAAATGAATATACACATACTAATTACCCCATAAACCAGCAATTATATTTCCAATAATGCTCAGAGTGAAGGTATTTGTAGTAGTCAAGAACTAGAAGCAATCCAGGTGTTCATCAATTATTTAATGGACAAATAAATTACAATGTGTTCCTACAATCCCATAGGCAATGAAAATGAATGAACTACTGCTACATGCAATAATATCAGTGAATCTCATAATCATATTATTGAACAAGAAATGTCAGACAAGAAGAAATGTATATTGGATGATTTTGTATACATAAAATTCAAAAACATACAATATTGAACCGTGGTATCAGAAGTCAGAAAAATGGTTATCTCTGGAAGAAGTAAAGAGTAATATTTAGAGGCTACCAAAAATGCTTCTAGAATACTGACATGTTCCATTTCTTGATCCAAGTGGTATTTACAAGTATGTTTTAATGGTTTTGCCATGCTGTACATTATAATTTGTGAACTTTCCTCATACATATACTTAAATAAATTTTATTTTTAAAAACTTAATGAGAAATAAAAATTGGAAAGGGAAGAAAGCATGGTTCCATTAATGAGCATGGATAGCTTATATACTGACAAGAAAGGACAAAGAAAATCTAAAAAAAATACATTGAAGAACTCAAAATGAATATTAACATGAAGCTTATTTAGTGTAAGAGAAAAACAATCTTAACCATTAATAAGCTTAAACCCATCATTATGTTGCAGTGTGTTGGGAATTAATTTTAATATAGTTTGTCATAGCTCAGTCATTTCCAGAAATACCTCAAAGCAGAGAAAGCTAATTGCAGTCCTTAAAATATTCTTTCTATATACACAAGATTTGCAGGTCCAGAAAAATCTAGACAGGTGGTCTCTGCTCTCTGCTGCAAAATAGTAGGATTATGTGTCAACATCCTGTACAATGGAATGTGAACAGAAATCATGTCTACAACATCTGGATCATGCCCAGAGAGTGGGTGCTCCCCTGTGTCTTCTCTATGGCATGACCATAGGGGCTAGAGCTGCCATATTTCAACTGGGAGATGAAGCCATGAGCTGAGGATGGAAGAGCCACCCAAATTGCCTTATATTGGCACAGCTACAGATTGTTAAATGAAAGAAATAATTTTGTTAATGCCATTTTTAGGTTGGATTTTTGTGTCTGAGCCAGATAGCCCATACAGCAATGCTACCATTTTAAGATTTAGTTTCCCTTAGTAGACTACTGGTTAAAAAAAAAAAAAAATCACAGCCAGAACAGACATTTTAAAGACAATTAGGTGAATTTGAATACAGAGTGAATGTTAGACATTGAGTCATTGCTCTTTTCTTAGGTGTGTTAATTGCATTGTGGTTATATTTGTTGTTCTTAGGAGATTCATACTGAGATCTTTCTCTCTAATGGTCTGGTGATGTAGGCATATATGATAGATGTAAGATAATGTGGCCAGGCACGGTGGCTCACACCTGTAACCCCAGCACTTTGGGAGGCCGAGGTGGGTGCATCACCTAAGGTCAGGAGTTAGAGACCAGCATGGCCAACATGGTGAAACTCCATCTCTACTAAAAATACAAAATTAGCCAGGTGTGGTGGCACCTGCCTGTAATCCCAGGTACTCAAGAGACCAAGGCCCAAGAATTACTTGAACCCAGGATGTGGAGGTTGTAGTGAGCCAAGATTGCGCCATTGCACTCCTGAGCAACAACAGCCAAACTCTGTCTCAATAAATAAATAAATAAGATAATGAAAATATGGCAAAAATATTAATGATTGAATCTGGGTGATAGGTATACAAATTTGGTTGTATTATTCATTGATATTTTCTTTATGTTTGAATTTTTCACAATAAAAATTTGAAATGGTAAAATAAACAAGACAGACAGATATTTTTGATAGAATGTAGTAAGTACCAGGAGCTGTTAGAGCACAAAAGCTAGGCCCTGAGTACAGCACAAAGGAGTCATCAGAATGAAGGCTAACAGCCCTTTAACACAGCAGATAGATTTGCATTGTGTTGCCATTATTCATTCCATACCTAGAGAGAATGTGCTTTCTTCTTGCTCAGATTAGCTTGCAGATTGTCAACAACTTTGTCAGTCTTCTTCTGTAATTCAGCTTAAATGACAGAAACTAGTCAGAAGATAGTATTTTGCATTGTTTTGAGTTGATATTGTAAGCATGTTTGGTTTAACACACTTCATTTTCTTGTGGTTGAATGTACTTTGCCTGTCTTTTGCAATCCATCTCATACACTGCAGTGGAATTCATCTTAATTGTGGACTCTGCACCTGCTACTGTCTTCTGTGCAAATGTTATCATAGTAATAATAATAATGAAGTTTCTTTGTTTCTGAGTGTGGCAAAGCCACACTGTGAAAAACCAACTGCTAGAAAATAAATGAAAGCAGACATAGACAATCTTATGCAGGAATGAAACAAAGTCTCATCAATGTGAGCTCCATATTAAGATCGCATCTATGGAATTTTACTGACGCTGGACTGTGGGCTCATTATAATTCAATAGATCTGACTTATCTGCCTTAGGATCAAACCATCTTTTTTCCCATAAGAAATTGCCTCCAATACAAGTTTGAGATTTTCTTTATATGTTCTTCAGATTAGTATCTGTTCTGTTTATTGATATTTGCCTGTATTGCATGGTTTAAATTTGTTAGACTAGGAATTTGGAATAACATCACGTTTCTGTGAATAGGCAGAATATTAGTATTACATACATATAAACATATAGGGCAAAATTAGACAATATAACTAGAAATTATATGAGTCAATGTATAAAAAATTTTAAAGGAAAAAATCTGACTCTCCAGACCAGAGAAAAAACTGATTACTATATTGGGCCACTTATCATCAGACTGAGTAGAAAACAATAATTTGAAGGAACATTGCAAAATGCTGAGGGGTCCTGTCCATATTCTATTATCAAATAATTATACCAAAAAATTAGGAACTTTTGTATAAAGGAAAATTTTACTATATCATATATTCAAAAGTAATAATGTTTGTCTTCTCTTGCTTTCAGAAAATTTAGATTAAAAATTCACCTACATCTGCAGGACTTTAAAAAAAAAAAGAATAGACAAGCAAGAACAATTTATGTACTTCTTCTTACAGTTGAAACAAAGGTTTCTTTAATGGCTGAATAATGAATTCCAAAATATTAGTCTCAGTAACAGAATAATTAGGTAACATTATGACCAGATATTTTATTTCAAAACATTTCAATATTACAAAACAAATGTTTTAAATTGCCCTTTAGTTATGAAAGGTTGTAACCTTCTTTACAGAAATAGATGTCCATTTCTTCACACAAGTAAAAAAATTTGATTTTAGGAACTCAGAGGATTTAACTTAAAGTTACTAGGTGCTAGATGCTTGAGGCTCAAAAAGAAAAAAGAAAAAAAAAAAAAAAACACCAAAATTGCCATTACCCACTGACATGGAAACAGACAGACACCTCTACTACTGATACTTCTGTCATTCCATTTCAAAAACTTACAGATGGGAATTCATTCTCAGTGAATCTGTAAAGACATACATAAAATAATTACAAGGTCTGTTTTGTGCCAACAAATTGCTCTAGAATATGAGCTAGATTCTTCTTACGTCTAAGCCACTGCTTATAGTAAGGAAAATATCTTAGAAGCCTATTTATATTCTAGGTGCATAACTTACTGTTTAGTAAGTTTATGCTGTAATGTGCCAAACAGCATCCTGATTCTTTAGACTCAGAATCCTATTTGTGGCTAAGAAAATCACTATGATAACCACAAGCACTCTTCATTTTTGTTAATCTTCCTTGCAGATCATATTTCACTTCCAGCTTTGGTTATTATTTCTTTGTAATAAAATACCAGCAATTTAAGTTGATAATTTGTCTGTGGTTGCATAGAAAAAGAAAGGCTTAGGTATTACTGAAGAGCTTTTCCTGTTTTTGTTCTTGTTTTTTTCCCTCTCAGATGAGCTCATTATTGTCTATGCCTAGTATATTATTTTGTTTTCTTGCCTTTTGTTTTACAGGAATAAAAATAACATCTCATCTTTGGTCTAGAAATATATTGTACTTGGGATCATTCAATTCAGCAATATTTCAGTTTGATACACTTGCTTCATACATGGAAATTATATTTAAACAAAGTGCCTTTCAATTCCAGCTTAAGTAAATGAGAATGAGGAAGGCCACCGTATCTGTCACCTCATTCATCACCAGGCTGGAGTTGACTGACATAGCAGGCGAGGCATCATCCCCTTCTGTTCACATTCCTTCTGATGCAGCCGATTGCTGGACTTCCCTCCCCTAGCTACTTTGTCATTATGGCAGTTCTATGTATAGAAAGCATTTGAGGAATTTTACAGGCTGGTAAAATTATTCTGCAAACCTCCTTTTTAAAAAATATATCTTCCAGATGGATATTTTTTTGTCTCAAAGTTTTGACTAATTATGTCTTGAAATATATGCTTCCTTTTAAAATGACTCATTGGAAACCTGGACTTAATAAGAATCAAATAATCCTTTTCAGGTGGTTTTTAAACCACTTGGTTCAAGTCTCCACTAAATACTAACCTTAAGCCACAGATTTCTTCTTCAAGTGAAAGAAAATGCTTTTGTTGTTATATTATTCCAGGATTTGTTTTAACATGAAAAATCAATACTTGTAATACTGGAATGAACTCCTTTTTTATTTTTTAATTTTCAGGAACTAAGAAAAAGAAGACATCTGAGTCACAAAAAGCAATAGGCAGTCAACTCAACCTTTAAAGGTAAGTAACAGTATTGCAAATTTGCTTTCTCCACAGAAAAATAATACAACTAAAGTAATCGGCAGACATGTCTTTGAAAGTCATCAGAACATGGGTTGTCCTTATATATTCCACAGTCACTAATTTTCTGTTAAATATTTATGTTGCCTTTAGAGTCATCAGTTTTTGTCTTCATGTTGAATGATAAGCTTTCAAAGAATGGGAAATTGGAAATGTCACATCCTTACTTTTTGCCCCATATCCACAATTTATCCTTGTTGATGGATAAGTAATGAGCCCTTGCACTCCAGAGTCACTTCAAACACTAAAAAAAAAAAAAAAAAAAAAAAAAAAAAAAAAAAAAAAAAAAAAAAAAAAAAAACTTTGCAACTACATCAGTACATTTTAATTCCTGCGAGCAAGAGAGTATTGATTACGTCACAGAAATCATTCTGGCTAAGGAGACTGCAGCTGTTCTCACTTTCTAAATGATATTGTATCCTTCAACAACTCAATGTCTATGTTGCCTCATCTGTTTTTCATTATGATATCAACTAAGTAATTGAGGAATATCTCAACAAAGGTGGTTTTCTGTCTTTTAAGTGACTGAGTTTAAATGTTTTCCTAAAAAGCTAATGACAAGGTAGTATTTTGATGAAGATTCCTTTTGGTTGGTATCTTTCTCTAGTTCACAACTGGTCTATTTATTTATTTCCTTGTTCTTTTTTCTGCCTATTTATGTTTCCTTCTTCTTTTCATTCCTTAAGATGAACCCTAACTTGATGATATTCTGGATTCTGCTGCTAGAAATGACTTAATTTTACTACCCCATGCAGCCTACTGGCTCTCAGGGTTTCTCTAATTTCCCTCATTTATGCACCAGCCTTTCAGGTTCTGTCTGATTGCTCAGCTGTCCAGTTTCTTTCAGCCTGTCTCTCCCTAAATTTTCCCTAATTGTCATCTTCTGTTTTTCTGCAAGTCAACTACTCTTTGACAAGCCCACTCTCTTCATTCTTATAACATCGTATCCTTGAGCTGCCAACTTCCTAAAAATATGATAGCCACAACTTCCCTATCAAAGCCTCCTTCACAGACACTCATAGGATACTGGGACTCAAAAGGGACTTATCCAGCCATTTTCCTTTAGGGTAAAAGAAACTGAAATCTGAAGAGGTGAATTACTAAAATTAAGCAGTTATTAACCACAAAGCCAGAACTAATCCCAAGATATTTTAAAGGCTAAGAATTATATTACCGGGGGCCAATAATTCAGACTTGGCTCCTAGTGATATACTTCTTGCTTCCAGAGATCCTGAGTTATGTCTACATGGTGATCGAGTTCCTTCAGTTGCCATAAGCTTTAGTAGTGTGCAATTGAAATGCAAAGAATGAGGTCTGAAATCTGCCCAGGCATTTAGCAACAGCACTTCCATAATTTGATAATGTTTCACTCTCTGTAGCTAGAGAGAATTCTACTGAATTTGCAGATGAGTTGGAAAGAGGACATTTTATTATACACACAAAAAAAGGAATTGTTTTGCTTTGGTTGGAAAGAATGTTTGAATCATCCCATTGGATATTAAATAACATAATTGGCAGAGGTTTTTAGCCTTGGTTGATCTTCCTCAGTTATTTTGCTTAGCTACTATGGTAAAAGACTTGTTCATAGATCCTCTCTGTGGCATATTATTTGGTAGCTTTGATTTTTTTTTTAAATTTACCACCCTGTTTTGAAAAGTTCTGGACCTCCTAAGATGCCTTCTGTTTTCTCAGAGCTCCCACCCTCGTCCGGTGGTATCTTCAGGGTTGATCATCAATGTGCCCTTCACTGTGCCCTTCTGAAGCTTACTGGGAGCAAAATTTTACTTATTTAGTTTATTCATGAGTGAATGACTTATTTATTGCAATCAGCTCCTGAGTCTGACTTGTCAGTTTGTGGAAAGTTGTCCAGAGATGCAGCCATTGTTGTTTGGTTCTTATTGGTATTCATGAGCATGCTTGGCAACTTGTAATAGCTTGGATAGCTATTATACTTGGATAGCATTTCGTGCCTTTACATTATGTCACTTGAGCCTTTGAGGCAGGCATGGCTGATACTGTCTCCAGATTATGGCTAAAGAATCTTTAGCTCAGAGAGATTAAGTGATTCACCCAAAGTCACTTAGATAGTAAGTGAGAAAGTTAAGACTGGAGTCTCCACCTGACGCCATTGCTCTTCCACACTCTGGTAGTTAAGCTTTCAGATTGTCTTTGTCTTTTTGCCTCACTCAAATTTGTCTGAAAGAAAGAGACACCAGACATTTAGAAGCAGGACCAGAATAAACATTTTCATTCACAAAAAGGAGAGTGAGCTACCACTGTTCTATACTGCAAAAAAGATTTAGGTTCTTCTTCCAAAAGTGCTAATTTGACAGAATGCCAGTTTCAGAGACAAGCAAATGAAAGTTTGATTTCATGGCTGGGCACAGTGGCTAATGCCTGTAATTCCAGCACTTTGGGAGGCCGAGGCTGGCGGATCACTTGGGGTCAGGAGTTCAAGACCAGCACGGCCAGCATGGTGAAACCGTATCTCTACTAAAAATACAAAATTTAGCCAGGCATGGTGGCACACACCTGTAGTCCCAGCTACTCAAAAGGCTGAGGCAGGAGAAATGCTTGGAGGCAGGAGAAACGCTTGAATCCAGGATGTGGAGGTTGCAGTGAGCTGAGATATCACCACCACTGCATTCCAGCTTGGGCAACAGAGTGAGCCTCTATCTCAAAAAACCAACCAAACAAAAAAACCAAAGTTAAATCTCAAGTTTCTTTGACTGCTAATAACATTTCTATGCAACAACTGATTAAAAGCATGCAGTATACTCAGGATCAAGCTCTCAAATGCCCTCCTTACTCAGTACCTTACAAAGAACATGTGGGCATTCTGTTGTGTGACTAATGAAGGGTATCTGTGGGCAATGCTACAGAATGCCGCAGAAACAGAGCTTTTCGCGAGTTAGAGAATTCTGGAAAGGCCAGGTAATTTTCCTACGTGGCTGCCACCTGTCATATGAACTTTCAGACTTGCTAGGAAACACTGAGGATTCTCAAAAAAAAGTATAAAAATGGAAGAAAGAGCCAGGGAAGAAATGGGTCTTTTACAGATCACCAGCACTGTACTCAAGAGTATGCAATTGCTTGGATCCATAGATAGCACCAACATTGCAAACACAGCATAGAAACTAACAACCAGTAAACGCTCTTACACACACAAGGCATTCCTAATAAAAGTGCTGGTGATGGAGTCTTTCCATGAACTGAGCTTTGTTCACGTATCTCTTACTATCCTCAGTGGTCTAAACTGGACAGTCCAAACATGGGCTGTCCTTCTAGCCCTCCAAGGAGTGTTCCTTAGGACATTGACAAGAAGTTTTTATAGCAGTTTCTCCTGGGGCCACTTTTTGTGAGTGGGGAGTTGGTATGTAACAGCCCAGAGAGGGAGACTAATATTTAATGCTCTTTAACCTGAAACCTGCCCTAAAGGAGTTTTGAATGTCTAGTAGTTACATTTTCTGATGTCAGTGTTTTCTGTCTATACTTTGTGACATATTCCTTCAATCTCTGTACTGATAATATCTTTCTCCTCTCAGCCCCAAACTGATCTATCAATTTCCAAAATTCTTCAGTCAGTTGAAATTTCATGAGTATTTTTTCCCACAACCTCCTTCCTTCAAAGAAGTGCATGTGCCTTTTTTATTAGTTATCCTGTTCTTGTTTTCCCAGCTTTACCTTTATGGTGTTATGGTCCAGCTCTATGGAAGCATAAAAAGATGTGCAATCTAGGCTCCCCATCACGCTGATCAAAGACATTTCATAACTTAAAGAAAATCAAATGCCTAAGCAAATGTAGTGGGTTTCACTTTCATAGAGGATGCATAGAACACAAACATCTCAGGCTGTAAGTCCTGCTGCTAAGAAATCTACACAAAATTCAAGCCTGTTGCACACAGAAAAACCAAGCTTGCTTTTTTTTTTTTTTCTATTGCATTTTAAGTATGTTACCTGGTTTCTTTCAAGTCTGGGGCACCCTGAAATATTAAAAGGAAAAGATAATAATTAGGTACCACTCAGGTACCACCAAGAAGAAAATGAAGGGTGTGAACATTTAAAAATTGGTCAGTAAACTGGTTGCCTCAAAACCATTTTGATCCCCATATTCAAGACAAGAAATAAACAGTATTCATGTCCACATAATGAAATATAATAGCTAAGCTGCTTAGGCATCAAAGAGGCCTGTGCACCATAAATCATTAAACTGTAACCTAAACAAGTACACATTACAGAGCTGAGTTCACAGGGGAAAAAATGAATAATGCTTTCACCTTCACAAAAGTTCAGGTCTCATGGAAATAATTTCCTCCCATGGCTGGGCACTGTGGCTGATGCTTGTAATCCCAACACTTTCAGAGACCGAGGTGGGAGTTCAAGACTAGCCTGGGAAGCATAGTTAAACTCTGTCAACTACAAAAAATTTTAAAAGACAGCCAGGTGCATTGGCACATGCCTGTAGTCCCGTTGCTTGAGAGGCTGAGGCCAGAGGATCATTTGAGAGGCTGAGGCCAGAGGATCATTTGGAGTACATGCCATTGCACTCCAGCATGGGCAACAGAGCTAGACCTTGTCTGAAAAGACAAAAACAACAAAAGAATTTCTTTCCTGCTGTTACTGTCATGTATCTGTGAATGTGATCAAGACCTGCTGATTGTAGTTCTTAATTTAAGGTTAATATGAATAGAAAGACTCTGAACACCTCTCCTTCATATTGCCCTCATAACAACTAAAGCGTGTTTCCAGTCAGAATTACATTTTGCCATGCATTGCCATTTATTGTTTTGCTCAGGACAATAACATCCAAGTTGCAACATGCTAGGCATGCGTAGCATGTTGCAACCAACCTTCATCACACAGGAGAGGAACCCAGAAGCAAGCAAGCAAGAAAATGGTTTCTTTTAGGGGAAAAAAAAAAAAATCCTTAGGACTTTATTGTCACCATTTCTGAAAGAAAAAGGTAGAGTTAGTGGACAAGTTAAAGTATTTGTTTTCTAAGCAGTTGAGAAGAAAAACACTGGTCAAAAGAAAAACCAGCACAGTCTTTATTTTGTTCACATGAAGTGCCCTTGTGACTTCAATCTTTTATACCCTGCCCAACTGTTTGGTCTATGACTTCCACAATTTCTCCAGATGCATTTTCCAAAAGCATATGTGTCGGTATTTATAAATCTTGGAGTCTATCTGATTCTCTACAGTTGGAATCTATCTCCTTGATGTATGGGTTAATTCAGCTTCCTAAAGAAATAATGAATGAAATTTCTATGGAGTAACCAGCTGGGAGTTTTTAAACCTACCTACACTTATCACAAATTTGCCAAAAGAGTCTCACCTTTCAGCTTGTGATACTATGTGTAAAATCCCATGCACAGGAACAGGAAATCCCAAGGCAACAAAAATATTTTAATTAAATAATGTAATAGAGCTATCTTTTTAAAATGCCATCCTTAGTACTTCTTCTATAGCTATCTTTTCTATACCTATCAGCAGCCTAAAAGTTTAAAACATAAAATATGCCCATTATTAATGTTGACCCTATTTGTAGTGAGAAGGTATAATTGCTTCAGATTTTGTGGCAATATCCTGCCTATACCCTATAGCCCTATTTAATTTATTGATTTATGTATATTTATATAGCATATACAGGAAGATATGGTACATACTTTCTTGGAGTCTGAGGAGAAAGAGAAAAGTAAGAATTTTTCTTCAATATCTTCTTTTAAAAGACTAAGAGTAAAATTACCCCAAAATCTTATTGGTGACCATGAAGAGAAATTCAATGAGTTTTGTTGGTTTATTTCATCCAAATACCAAGAGCTAAAAATATTTTTTAAAAATATACCAAGGGATTCAAACATATGATTTGTTGTTTGTTTGTTTTTGTTTTTTGAGACGAGTCTTGCTCTGTCAACCAGGCTGGAGTCCACTGGTGTAATCTCCATTCACTGCAGCCTCTGCCTCCCAGTTTCAAGTGATTCTCCTTCCTCAGCCACCTGAGTATCTGGGATTATAGTTGTCCACCACCCCACCTAGCTAATTTTTGTATTTTTAGTAGAGACAGGGTTTCACCATATTGGCCAGGCTGGTCTCAAACTACTGACCTCAGGTGATCCACGTGCCTCAGCCTCCCAAAGTGCTGGGATTACAGGTGTGAGCCTCCATGCCCAGCCCCAACATATGCTTTTGTTGCAGGACTTTTCCTTAGTTTAGCTAAAGACAGAGTTACTGTCCGTCCAATGGCCACAGAAGGCCATGAAAATTTAGGTTCCAAGATGGTTTAAAGCATGAGTAAAGCAGGGTTTTATTGAGTGAGAAGGGGAAAAATGGGGGAAACAGGGATCCTCTGCAAGGTCAGAGTACCCTGCTAGAGTGCTTCCCATACTGCCATTTGAATACCAGTTTCCACACAGGAAGAGGAGGGGCCATCTCCTCCCCTCTGCAAAGGGCACGAACCCAAGTCTCCATCTCAGTGGGCAGGCTGATTAGAGTTTCTCTAGGGACCTCCTCCCACCTGTCTCCCTCACTTTTATACCAAAGTTCATAGAGCATTATTCACAAAAGCCCAAAAATAGGCCGGGCGTGGTGGCTCAAGCCTGTAATCCCAGCACTTTGGGAGGCCGAGGCGGGTGGATCACGAGGTCAAGAGATCGAGACCATTCTGGTCAACATGGTGAAACCCCGTCTCTACTAAAAATACAAAAAAAAAATTAGCTGGGCGTGGTGGCACGTGCCTGTAATCCCAGCTACTCAGGAGGCTGAGGCAGGAGAATTGCCTGAACCCAGGAGGCGGAGGGTTGCGGTGAGCCGAGATCGCGTCATTGCACTCCAGCCTGGGTAACGAGCGAAACTCCGGCTAAAAAAAATAAAAAAAGCCCAAAAATAGAAACAACACATGTCCATTGACAGATGAATGGATTTTTAAAATATGGTGTATAATACAATGAAATATTATTCAGTTATTAAAAAAAGAATGAAGTTCTAATACATGCTACAACATGGATAAACTTTGAAATTTTATGTTAAATGAAATAAGCCATACACAAAAGGACAAATATTATACAATTTCACTTATCTCAATAAAAAAATTTAAGGAGATGGAAAGTATAACAGAATTTACTAGGGGCTAGGCTGGGAAGGGGAGAATGGAAAGTTATTATTTAATGGGTATAGAGTCTCTGTTTGGGATGATGAAAACTGTTCAGGAAATGGATAGAGGTAATGGCTGCACAACATTGTGAATGTACTTAATGCCACTGAATGGTACACTAAAAATGGTTGAAATGGTTTACAAAGTACTACTAATAAAATATGGCTAGTATTTCCAAGATGGAAAAAATCATATTCTAGTCTCAAGCATATCAAAATAATTTTACATATACTTTTCTGCTTATGATGCAGCATAAATATTTTCTAGTTGCTGGGCCACACAGTTCACATTATTTTCTCATTCTTTGGACACCCAGGAGCTGACTTGTACATTTTCCGGAAACTGTCAATAACACTTTTTGCCACTTTGCACCATTAAGTGTTATCTCTGAATCATGTGTTGGATAAATCGTGTAGACTGTTCTGTTTTTTTCATGGTTACTATAGAAACTGCAGTTACAATGTTTTGAGGAGACTAGCAGGAAATTTAAGAGTGTACAATAAAAATTAACTTATTTCATGGTTGAAAATTTCTTCCAGCTGTCTCCATTTGTGATGATTATCGTGTTCACATTGGGAGTATAAACATACAACCAAAAGGGCTCTGGTGACTATGGCCAATAAACCGTCTCACCCCTAACACACTTCCCTCCCAACCTCTTTTCCTCAAAGATTTGTAATAGGAACATATGAAACAAGTGTTATGTAAGGTTCAGGTGTTTTCAATTATTTCTCTCGTATGAACAGAGGTTTCCTGAATCCAAAACATGTTTCAGCACAGAGGGTTTTCCTTATTTTTGAAGATGGTGTCATCTTAGGAAAATTTCACCTACATTTCTCTGATTCACCGATGCTTCCTTAATACAGCATCTCCTCTGAGCTCTTCTACACAATTATTTCCTCCATGAGTAGCCAAAAGTGTGGTACATTTAAGTATTTCTTTTGTGAAGTGTGCTCTTAGAAAGTATATAACCTTTGCCCTTGCAATAAAGAGATAAATGAATGCTCAGCACTGGGATTTGTAATAGATTCCTTGTCAGTTACATCACCACAGAACATTCCAGCGCAATGCCTCCACTATCTTCCCGCTCAGGGACTGTCACTCTCTCTAGTATGGCATAGGTGAGGGAAGATAGACTCATCTCTGATGGTATTAACTGCCTAAATGTTGACAGTCATGCGAGACTATTCAAGGATTATAAAGGAAGAATGTGTTTTTGCAGCATTTTATTTTCCTAAGTTTCTGTGAATAAAAGCTAAAAGATTGATTTTTAGGTTTCAGCAGCCTTAGATAGCAATGGGCTTTATCTTATGGTGTCAGAAATTTGCCACTTCATCATTGCCCTCTGCAAGTTAGCAGTAGCACTCTATTTATAAATATCTTGCAGGGATTGTGAGCATTACTTCATTAACATTTTAATAAGCATCATTAATAATATTCATTTTAGGGAAACAAATTCATCTACAAATGAACTAGATGAATACAATGAAAAATAAATCCAAAACTTTACCTCCTGCTTTATGCCCCAAAAGAGGTAAACATTTTAATGTATCCTGCCTACACACACACACACACACACACACACACACACACACACACTTTATGATTTTGGCAGGAAATAGTAAAATATGAAATGGTAAACACTAGTCCTATGATAACGTTTTTGATTAATT